GGTACGGCCAAGGTCTTCATGAGACAGATGCCCACCCACCAACACCCAGTGACCTCTTCAGTAGGAGCAGCGGTGACGGTGATGGCTGGACCTGCCCTCCACTCCAACGCCTTAGGGTCTCTAAGCCCTCTTCCCGCCTTCCCATTGCTCTCCACTTGTCTTGTCCGCTTGTCAGAGTGCAGCCACATGAGATGTGAGGCCAGCATGCAGCATAGCGGGACATCAGGACCAATAGCCCTCCCCATCCCAGTGCCGTGGGGCAGGGGCCACCAGCGGGAGGACCTAGACCTCAGAGCAGGCCCTGGGGAAGTTGGGCCCTTGGGTGACAGTGTGGGGCCCCAGCACAAGTGGAAGCGAAAGTCCCTGCTCTTTGACATGGGTGCCTCCTCCCTTCCTGTCAGTACCTCCTCTGAGCATGAGTGAGCCATCCTTGGAGGGGAAGAGACTGGGAGACCACCCCTACCCAATCACAGAAACCCAGGCACACACACCCCACCCCCAACACCACTTCCTTTCTCCAAGAAGCTCCAATCAGCATTTCTTGTATGTTGAGTTCACCCCTGCTGTCCTCTGGGCCTCCTACGGAGACCCTGGAGGGCAGCAGGCCTGTGAGGAAGAAAGGGGTGGGATGTGAATGCCCTAGGGGATCCCCCAGGATCAGCTGAGCCCAGCCCTCTGCTCCCTGGTGACGTGAGCCACAGCCCCTGAGCCCCTCAGGAAGCTGGGGCAAATCTCAGTCATTTCTTTCTTTTGTTGCTCCATGTGACCCAGTGTACTTTGCCATGAGGTGGGGGAGAGGGGGTGCTGGCTGCAGCCCCCCCTGCCCTGTACTGAATGACCAGCGCTCCTCACAAGGTAGTAACCAGAACCTCTAAGGCCTAGTGGGGAAGATGACCTGCACACTGATGGCCCAAGAGAAGATTCTGGGGGGGTGCAGGACGGTCCTGGACTCAGAGTCGCCAGAAACGTGGGCCTGGAAATCCCTGGGTTGCCAGGCAGTGGAAAATTCTGAGTTCACACAAGAGCTAAAAATACAGCGTGACAACCCCTGCCTCCTGGTTTTGGAATCCCGCTCCTACCATTTTACCGCCCACCCTGTGCAAGACAAGCTCCCCTCATCTTTGCAGCCCGCCCTCCATGGCTGTGAGCCCAGCAGCCCCCCAGCCCCCACCAAGGTTGGCAGTGCTGGGCCCCTCACAGATCTGCCCTGGCCCCGGCTCTGCCTAGACATCTTCAGAGCCCCTTGACTGCAGGTAGGCCTTGCAGGGATTGGGGTACAAACAGGAGCACCCCACAGGGTACCAGATTCCAGACTCAGCTCTGTCCCTCAGACCTTAGGAGGACCCCCCTCCATCCCACCTTGGACTATTTTCAACAGGGGGGCCGGAATGGGGAGCCCCCAAGCACAGTGGTCTCTCCTGCTTGGATCCCTGTGAGCCTTTATAGATTGGCTCAGTTTCTCGGCACAGCAGGGATAGGGGCCAGTGCAGTGTTGGGGAGCCATCTCTGGACCCCCTCACACACACACACACAGCTCAGGGACGTCTGCCTGCCAGGGGGCGGTGGCTTCCTCTGAGTCAGCTGCCTGGGCATGTGGGTGTCCATATGTCCAGGGCCAGGCCACCCAGGCGCGAGCTTCACAAAAGCAGAGACCCCCCAGGAGGTGGCCTGCAGGACTGGCCCGCCCTTCCAGGCCTTCTCGGGTGTGGGGCGCGTCCAAGGGGAGGGTAATCGGTTGCGGAAAACGCGCTAAAGGGTTGGGGAGCTCGTCAGTAAAATTCCTTGCCGGCGTGGCTCCATCAAGGCAAGGGGGCGTGGAGTCCACAAATTCCTGTGTCTGCCGGCCGGGCCCCCGGATGCCACGCCCTAGCTGGGGAACGCGTCCCTAAGCCAGGCCACGCCTCCGCGGTGCCGCCAGCAGCTCCGCTTGGTCCAGGCGCCTAGCTGGAGTCAGCCTGGCCGGGAAACTCATCCCGCCTACTGGGGAGCAGGCGCCGGTTGCAGCTTCCTGAAGGCACATTTGGCGGCCAGTTGTCCTGTGCCCAACGCGGCCGGAACCCAGAAACGGCCTCCCCACAGCTGGGGTATCATCGCCTATCAGTTAATGCTGGTTTCCTTATGTGCTCCCAGAGTGCAATGGGACCGCTCTGGAAAGACGTCCAGGGCCTCGCGGGTTGGCCCCCAGACACTGTGGGGCATCACAGGGAGAAAGGGCACTTCCTCAGCCACTGGGGCCACCACCAGATCGTTCCTCCACCGACTGGACCCCTCCCCCACACCCCCAGAAGAGTCCCAGATAGTGTCCAGTGAGCACAGTCCCCACCTGCTGAGCAAGAATGCCCCTTGTGGTCTTCCGGAGAAGTAAACCCTTGACCCAGGTGCTGGGGGTGGCAGGGAGGACTGGGCAGTGCCAGGAGAAGGTCAGTGGTGCTGGTCAGAAGGCCCCCCTGTGTGTTGGGGGCCTCTTCTAGGAACTGGGGCACAGGAAACTCAGGAATATCAATTGACTCTGAAAGCTTATTTTTTGGCACCAAGAGACCCTGGGGCTTGGCTGGAGAGGAAGATTTGGATGCCATACGCCTGGCCTGTTCTCGCTCTGGCCACTCAGCCTGTGCCAAGGGGGCAGGGCCCAGGGAAGGGCCAGTCAGCCCCATGCTTCTTTAAGCGGTAGCATCAGGTGGCTGGGAGTGTGCGGAGCTCCGGAGCATCGTGGTTTGGGCGGCATCAGCTCCTCCTTGCCCATAGAGAATCCTTGGGGTGTCTGAGGCTTCCCGGAGGGAGGAAGAGGCCGGACCTCAACTGACAGCAGAAATGAAAAGCCAGGAGAGAGTGAGGAGCAGCATGAGGCAGGGTCCAGCGTGGGTGGACAGAGGTGGCCGGAAGGTCTTGCGAGTTTGGGTGAGTGGGGAATGGCCCAAAGGTCAGGGCTCCGGGAAGGGCATTTACAGCCTGGAGAGTGAATGGGAGGCTCTAAGCTCTCCATCTAGTGGGGCCTGGGGAGGAACCTAGGCATGTGGGACCCCGAGCCCACTGCTGTTAAGTCCAGCTCGTGACAATTCTACAGGACAGAGCTTCTTTATAGAAACAGATGAGCACTCTCTAGCAGAGTGACCGCTGAGTTCTAACCGCTGCCTCCGAGGGTGCTCCCAGCAGCTGCCCTAGTCTGTAGGTGCAGATGAGGAAATAGATTCAGGCCAGATCAGTGTCCAAACCCCAGTCAGAGCCCTCTCTCCGCCCACTGGGCCACCTCCCTGGAAGGACCCTGCTGACCATGCAGGACACTTGGACAGGAAGCTAAGCTAAGTTACCTGGTGTGGACCAGTTGGCACTGCAGAGATGTGGGACAGCCGTGTGACATGTTCTCAGGGAGGGGGCTGGGATCCTTAGGGAGGACGCCTCAAGGCCCCCTCACCCAGGGCAGAGGGTGTACAGGGCCTTCTAGGACGAGAACATGGGTGTAGGGTGGGGAGGCAGCAGAGACAGGCTGGGGGCAGGCACCTGGTTCTCAGTCGCCTCAGATGGCCCTCTTGTCCAGGGTCCCCCAGCTCTTGCCAAGTTGGGCTGCTGAGAACATCAGCATTCAGCAGGCTTGGACAGGTTACTTGACCTTAATGCGACCATTAGACCCACAATAGCATGAGGAAGTCATGTCCTCGGCATACTTCCCCCAGCACCACCCCCCAGGCCCCAAACAGCCGTTCCCAGACACTAAATATAAGACTCAAGCCATACATGGCCGTGGGAGAGCCTGGGAGGCCCTTGACCTTTGAGGCAGTCCCCAGGGACTGTGGTTAGGATGTGTCTCAGCTGGCCTTGCTTCAAGTCGGAGCCCCAAGAGAGGGGTCTGGACCACAGCCAAAACAGAGTCCCCATCAGCACCCCTCCCCAGATGCCTCCCCTTGCACCAGCCCCCTTCTCCATACAGAGTTTGTTGAGGAGGTATTTGGGGGCAGATATCCTCAGCGTAGTGGTTATGAATCGGGCTGCTAACCTCAAGGTCGGCAGTTCGAAACTACCAGCGGTTCCGTGGGAGAAAGATGAGGCTTTCTGCTCCTGTAAAGATTTGCAGCCTCGGAAACCCTGTGCAGGGTCACTATGGGTCAGAACCGACTCCACGGTACTTAACGACAACAACAAATTCTCTAGGAGGGACTGTGATGAGCAGGGAAGCACTGAGGGGACATCAGTACACTGCCCACCCCGAGGTGGACAAACCAAGGTCCAACGAAGGCCTGGACCTGCAGAGTTCCTCTCACGGGCCCTGGGCTCACCCTGTGTTGGGCGGGCATGCCATCACATGGCTGACCCTTAAGTCCCGTGATTCAGTCTTGTGTCTGGGAGAAAGCCTCCATTCCTGAGGCTGTGGGCAGCCCTTAGAAGGGGCCCAGATTTCACCCCTCCAACCCAGTCCCTGGGGGCAGTGGGGAGCGCTCCTGGGGCCTCAGAGATGCCCTGCTTCTTGCAACGTCGCGGTGTGGCCACACTCAACCCACCCCTAGCTCTGCAGGCAGGTCCGCGTTCCATCTGCGGGAGGCTAGGAGCTTCCTCGTGGTGTTGGGCAGTCTGATCTGTTGACCTAGTCTTCCAGCAGAGGGTACCAGGCTTCAGGGTCCACATGGGCATGGAGAAGCTATCCCAGTCTAATGGAGTTGCTATAGTGATTGCATAGTGATTTCTCGCTGTAAGAGCACAGTGAGGAAACCAGTTGCTGTAGAGGGCTCCTCAGCGTTTGCAGGGAATAAGTTTCAGAAGTGCACCACCAGGCTTTTCTGCCAAGGCCTCTGGTGGACTCGCAACGTTAGGGGGAGCAGCTGAACATGTTCACCGTTGGTACCGCTCAGGAACGGGAGGAGCCCGTGGAAAGTAGCCCCAGCAGGCATCGGAAGCATGATTAAGCCCTGCTTGCTAGATGAACAAACTGAGGCAAAAGAAATCAAGCTTCCCTTGCCCTGGGGGCTAATGGTTTTGCTCTGTCTCTGCTAATCCCGCAGTTCAGCAAGATGTCGGTGAAGGAAGGCGCCCAGCGCCGATGGACGGCACTCAAGGAGAAACTAGGGCCGCAAGACTCGGACCCCACGGAAGCCAACCTGGAGAATGCCGACCCCGAGCTGTGCATCCGGCTGCTGCAGATGCCTTCAGTGGTCAACTACTCCGGCCTGCGCAAGCGCCTGGAGAGCAGCGACGGCAGCTGGATGGTGCAGTTCCTGGAGCAGAGCGGCCTGGACCTGCTGTTGGAGGCGCTGGCGCGGCTGTCGGGCCGCGGGGTGGCGCGCATCGCCAACGCGCTACTGCAACTCACGTGCGTCAGCTGCGTGCGTGCCGTCATGAACTCACAACAGGGCTTGCAGTACATCCTCAGCAACCAGGGCTACGTGCGCCAGCTCTCCCAGGGTGAGCGAGCGGGTGGCCCGCAGGCCTGACCTCAGTTCACAGTCAAGGAAGACTAGCTGGAGGAGGCCTGGTCTTCCCCCAGCCTCCTCTCCACACTGTGGATGGGTCAAAATCACAAGTCCACTCTGGGTCACCCCGTCCTTTAGAACTGTCGACTCCTGCCCGTGTCCAGCACAATCCTCCTCTGGCTCTGAGTGTCACTCTGCCACCTCCTCTAGGAAGCCTCCCCAGACTGTGCCCAGAGTCCCTGGTATCCCGAGCCCTCGGGAGAGACCTATGAGGTCTCAGGACTGGCCAGGAGGGTGGCTGATGATGGGTGGGCAGGGTAGGCAGGAGATCTATCTGGAGGCTGCCTCTTCCTGGTCTCAGGGGTCAGATACATGTCCTCGCAGCTCAAACATGGATTGTCTTTCGGCAGAGTCCTTTGTGATTTGCTCTCAGCAGGACCAGTCAGGACACCCCCAGAACTGTCGAGGTTCAGGGAGTGAGTGGGAGGCAGGCCTGTGAGATGAGGTGGCAGTGGTGAATTTGAGAAAACACATGCACTTGTGCCAAGGGACAGGCTCTGGCTCACATAGATCATGCCCAAACTAGCCACAGGGAAGGGCTGAGCCAGCCGCTGTGGGAGGGGGCCTCAGAACTGAGGGCAGCCCTTACATGTCTAGATCCCTGGAGTGGACAGTGGTGGTGCATATCGCCCCCTGGTGTCCGCCTATCAGATTGACGGGTGGGGTGTTCAGACCAGGAGGAAGCTGCAGGGAGAGGGTAGCAGCTACCAGAGGCTCCTGCTCCCCACAGCTCTGGACACATCCAATGTGATGGTCAAGAAGCAGGTGTTTGAACTACTGGCAGCCCTGTGCATCTACTCCCCTGAGGGCCATGCCCTGACCCTGGACGCCCTGGACCACTACAAGGTGAGTGCTGTGGAGGAGAGGCGAGACGGCGGGCTGGGGGTGCGGGCTGACCCTGAAGTCCCCCCCGCAGGCAGTGTGCAACCAGCAGTACCGCTTCAGTGTCCTCATGAGCGAGCTCGCCGACAGTGATAACATCCCCTATGTGGTCACCCTGCTCAGCGTGGTCAATGCCCTCATCCTCGGGCCTGAGGACCTCCGAACCCGCAGTCAGCTTCGCAATGAGTTCATTGGTAACTGCCTGCCAGCTGGTGCCCACCCTTCAAGCCCTTCCCAAGTGCCCTTGGTGCTGAAAGTCCACACCTGCCCTCTGGCCACATCCTCCAGGGAGAAGTTCTTGTTAATGTGCCCTGGAGTCTGTTCCGACTCATAGCGACCCTGTACACAGGGTTACCAAGGCTGTAAATCTTTATGGGAGTAGAAAGCCTCATCTTTCTCCCGGGGAACAACTGGTAGTTTCGAACTGCTGATCATGAGATCAGCAGCCCAATTTGTAACCACTGCACTACCAGAGCTCCTTCCAGGGAGAAGAGAACATAGCAGAACCTGTCTACCCCACCCTGTACCCCACCTGCTCCTCCTGGTGAGACTCAGGATGTATGTCCTACAGGGCCCTCAGTGAGGAGGCTGGCTAGGCAGCCTGAGTCACCAGTGACTGAGACTGCCGAGTGCCACCTTGAGGTGGGGACCTATGTCAGGTGTCTACTCATGTCTGTCCCACCCCAGGCTCAGTGCTCTGTGGGATAGAGTGGGAGGGTCAGTCCAGGAACCACCTCCTGCCCACTGACCACCATCCTCCCCAGGGCTGCAGCTGCTGGACGTCCTGACCAAACTGCGGTGAGTTCTTGAAGTCCGGCCCTGCCCATGCCCACCTGCTGCTCCTGAACCCTGCCCATCTTTACCTTGGTCAGCAAATCCCCAGGAACGGGAATGAGGCCTCTGGGAGGACCTGCAGACCCTACGGCTCACTGTCCCTAGGGCAGGTGGACAGGCCTTCGGGGAAGAACAGGATGCCTGTTAAAGGCCGATTTCAGATACAATCAGTTTTCTTAAGTCTCAGTATACCCCAAGTGATGCATGGGGTCATACTTATACCAAAAAAAAAAAAAAAAATCCACCGATGATCTGAAATTTGCATTTATTTGGGTACCCTGTATTTTTATTGCTAACTCTGGAGCCCACCCACCACCCAAGGGTCACTGAGGCTCCCATGGACCTCGAGAAGGGGAGTACTGCTCCGCTGAGGCTCAGCTTCGAGGTCGGATTGCCGGTGCTGCTCCTCTGGGAGGTGGGAGAGTCACAAAAATCAAATGCCAAATGCGATTGGGTGCCCTGTGGTCACGGGGCGGTGAAACAGCCAGCAAGACCTGTCCATCATCTCAGCTAGCCCAATGAGCTGAATCAGTCCCAAGTTAGTAGCCAGCGGGGCTAGGGCCCCTACCATCTATCAGGTGGTTGAGAAACTGTCCCCTGCCTCAGTCCAGGATGGGCTGCTCTCAGCCTGTGACCCCGCCCCGTCTCAGGCCTTAGAGGTTCTCCCATGTGCTAGCTATGTCTCTGCCCTGTGTTCTGAACACGAGCCTGGCCAGAGCTCAGGCTGGTCAGCCCCGGACCCAGCCAGCGTCCCTCCGAGCAGAGACCACAGGGTGGATCCTCACTGAGGGAGGGACCTGAGTGGGGAGCGGGGCCTCGACTCAGCTGCCAGGTCCTCGGCTTCAGGGACATCGAGGACGCCGACCTGTTGATCCAGCTGGAGGCCTTTGAGGAGGCCAAAGCCGAGGATGAAGAGGAACTGCTCCGGGTGTGCGGTGGGGTGAACATGAGCAGCCATCATGAGGTCTTTGCCTCCCTGTTCCACAAGGTGAGCCTGGGAGAGGTCACCCTGAGGGTCAGGAATGGCCGACCCCCACCAGACAGACCAACAGTGGTAGTTCTGGGGCTACACTTCCGGGAGCAACAAAGGGTGGGGGCTGGGAAGGGAGGCCGGGGAGGGGACACACACGACTGGTCTTGGCTGTCCCCAGGACAGGAGAGTTCCAATGACCAGAGGTAGTCACACTGGCTGAGGGCCAAATGTCCCCAGGGTGCTCAGGACAGCTGAGAAGCCAGGAGGCTAGTTCAGGTCCTCTCCGGGGCCATCTCATTCACGGAGTCAGTGGCTCTCAGGAGGGGCCTTTCTGCCCCCCAGGGCATGTGTGTCATCACCTGATGGCATTTTAGATAGTCACAAGTGGGCAGAGCTGCTCCTGGCATCACACGGGTGGGGCCTGGGGATGCTGCTGACCCCCACCGCCAACACACACACACACACACACACACACACACACATGAATGGGATGCCCCAAACTCCCTCCTTCAGGCAGAATGATGTGCCCCAGGTGTGCATAAACCCTGCTTCTCCTGCTCTGAGCTTCCTTATCCCCAGGGCTCTCGTGAGGTGAAGTGGGGGGAGACACCCAGCAATGTGTGTCCTAATATGTGCCCCCGCGGCCCTCCCAGGTCAGCTGCTCGCCTGCGTCTGCCCAACTGCTGTCGGTGCTGCAGGGCCTCTTGTACCTGGAACCCACCCGCCGCTCCAGCCAGCTGCTCTGGGAGGCTCTGGAGAGCCTGGTCAATCGCGCGGTGCTCCTGGCGAGCGACGGTGAGTGGGCGGGGCCTCCGGACATAGGGCGGAGTCTCGCTGAGGACAGGTTGTACAGCGGGGTCTCCTCTCTGCGAGAGGCTTCAGACCCAGCGGGGAACAGCAGACTGCGGGCCGCCAGGACTTTTGGCTGCCCCGCCCTCCCTCCTGACGCAGCTGGCTGTCCACAGCCCAGGAGTGCACCCTGGAGGAGGTGGTGGAACGACTCCTGTCCACCAAAGGGCGGCCCCGGCCTCGCCCCCTGGACCGGGCCCACAAAGGAATCCAAGCCGACCTGGGACTGCATCGGAAGGGCAGCCCTCCTCAGAATTTGAGTGGCCCAAAGGCGGGCCTAGAGGGAGAGAGGCCAGCAGTGACCCCCGCCTGCCTTCAGGATGCCAAGGCGTCAAACACGAGTGGAGACGAAGCTCTGCAGCAGACCACCCCAGAGCTTCGGACACCCACCCCACCGCCACCCCCTCCACCGCCGCCGCCACCTCTGCCGGGCCAGGGGTTCGCAACTCCCACGCCACCACCCCCACCCCCCCCTTTGCCCGGGACTGCAGCTCCCCCTCCGCCCCCCCCACCACTGCCCCCGCCCCCTCCTCCACCCCCATTACCTGGCTTCAGTGGATTCCCCCCACCACCGCCCCCACTACCTGGTTTCAATGTGGGCCCCCCTCCACCGCCCCCACTGCCCCAGGGTTTGGGGTGTCCCCCTCCACCCCCGCCCTTGCTGGGCACTCCCAGGCTTCCAGTGGAAGAAGTTATCGTAGCTCAGGTGGACAGCTGCCTGGGCTCTGACTACGTGCCCAGCCATCGGCGGGTAAACCCACCCACACTACGCATGAAGAAACTCAACTGGCAGAAGCTGCCGTCCAATGTCGTCCGAGGTGAGTGGCCAGAGCCTCAAGTCCACACGTGCTCCTCACCCCCACCCCAATTTGAACAAAAGGTTCCAGGTTGGGCTTAGGACCAGTAGCTCTGGGCTCTGCGCCTGTGTGCTCCGGGATCACCTCCAAGCCTCCTCTGTGTCGCCCCTTAGTGAAGACAGGGTGCAGAGGGAGCCTGGAGCTGCTCCATCGAGAAGGTGTTTCAGTGGTTGAGAGAGATGGGTCATCTGCAAGTCAGGACCCTGAACACACAGGCCACATGCACATAGGCTCCCTCCCAGCTCAGCATCAACCCAACAGCTTCCTTTTGCAGGCGGGCTTATTAGTAACCTGCTGGATACTCTTCTGGACAGGGCCCAGCAGGGCACCCGACAACCCTGGCCCCAGGCTGAGGGTGGTCTGATGGCGCTCTCTGCCCACAGAGCGCCAGTCCATGTGGGCATCGCTTGGCAGCCTGGGCACTGAGGAGGTGGAGCCCGACTTCTCCAGCATTGAACAGCTCTTCTCCTTCCCCGTGGCCAAGCCTAAGGAGCTGACAGCGGCTGCCCCCACCAGGAAGGAGCCCAAGGAGGTGGGCACCAGGCCAGGGTGGTCACTAGTCACCTGAGGCTGCTGCCCGCCCAGCAAGTGACACCTCTTCTTCTGGTGTTTCCAGATCACTTTTCTCGACTCCAAGAAAAGCCTTAACCTCAACATCTTCCTGAAGCAGTTTAAGTGGTGTGTGGAGACTACTGCAGCTGGTGTCCTGGAGTCCCTGCCCCTCCCCTGCCCTACCAGAGCCTTCCTCTGGGCTGCAGCAGTGCCCTCTGTAGGCCGCCTTTGGGAAGTGCATGTTCCATCTCCCAGCCCAGAGCATCTGGGTTCTGGCCCCGCCCTAAGCTACAAGCAGGCCCCACCCCCCTCCATACTGCACATTCTGAGCCCTGGCCTCGTCCTAAGCTCCTGGAGTAGCCTTGGAGGCCTGGCCCCCACACAGGGAGCTAAGTGTGTGGTCTAAGGGCTGCCTCCACTGGTGGCCAAGGCTCAAGCCCGCTCCATGCCCTCTCTTTGCCCTCAGCCCCAATGAGGAGATCACCGCCATGATCCACGCTGGAGATACCACCAAGTTCGATGTGGAAGTTCTCAAACAGCTCCTCAAACTCCTTCCAGAGAAGCATGAAGTGAGCGGGGGCTCCCCCTGCCCCTCTCACCCCCTGGGCCGTGCTTTGGGCCTTACTCAGAATCCTGGGGACCACTGGAGCTGGAGGGAGAAGGCGGGGTGGCTGGTGCTTCCTGAAGGAGCAGACACAGGGTGTTGGTGGAACCCCCAGCCATGGCCTCTTTCCCTGCAGACTGAAAACCTGCAGACATTCAAAGGGGAGCACACCAGGCTGGCTAATGCTGACCAGTTCTACCTGCTCCTGCTAGCCATCCCGTGGTGAGCCCAGCTGTGGAGAGGGACAGGGGCTTTGCAAGAGGTCCTCTGGTGACCCTGGGGGGGAAGGGGGTAAGTAGGGCACAGGCCCTGGCCCAGCGCCCACCCACTCTCAGACGGAAGGCTGCCCCACCTCCGCCTCTTCTGGGTGTGTGCCTGAGATGTCCTGCTGAGCTGCCCATGAGGAACATGTCCTCCGGAGCTGGGCCCCCATGCAGGCCAGGGCAGATGTGTGCAGGGACCCCTGAGCCCTGTTGTTGCCCCCCTCAGCTACCAGCTGCGGCTGGAATGTATGCTGCTGTGCGAGGAGACAGCTGTGGTGCTGGACATGATGCAGCCCAAAGCCCAGCTGGTGCTGGCCGCCTGCAGAAGTGAGTGTGTGGGGAAAGAGCAGGGGAGTGGGCTCTGGGCCCTGCTACCCTCACCATTCCTCATAGTCTCCCTGCTGGCTTTCTGAGGCCCACCCTTCTGAATGGGCGGGGACATCAGCAGGTCCCCCAGGAGTACGGCCTACACTGCCCAGCACCCCCACCATAGCCACAGCTGAGTACCACAGGACACCACAGCTTCCAGAACCTTCCCAGTGCAGATGGGGCAGCCGTCCCCTTGTGCTCTGGGGTTGTGATCAGGGTTCTGTGAAATCATTTACTCAGGGTGGTGGGTTTCCTCCCCCTGAGCCCCTGTCCACAGTCCCCGCCCTGCTCGAGTCACACCTGGGAACAGTGTCTGGAGGATGGGATGAAAGCGTTCCAGTAACAGGACCAGACACCCACTAAGGCCTCTAGGGCCTGGGGGCGCCAAGCCAGATGTCCTCCTCCCCCAGCCCTAACCAACCCTCTTCCCCCAGGCGTGCTTACCAGCCACCAGCTCCCAGTCTTCTGCCAGCTGATCCTCAAGATCGGGAACTTCCTCAACTATGTGAGTCGGAGCGGCGCCCACCACCCTGTACCTCCCTGCCGGCCGGCCCAGGGTCATGGGCTCATTCCCTGTCCTTCCACAGGGCAGCCACACAGGTGACGCCGACGGCTTCAAGATCAGCACGCTGCTGAAACTCACTGAGACCAAGGCTCACCAGAGCCGAGTGACCCTGCTGCACCACGTGCTGGAGGTGGGCGGAGCTGTGCAGAAGGGGCGGGGTCAGGAAGACTGCGGCACCGTACACTGGAAGTGGGCGGGGCTGTGCAGACGGTGCGGGGTCAGGAAGACTGCGGCTCCATGCACTGGAAGTGGGCGGGGCTGTGCAGAGGGGGCGGGGAGGCTGCATCCTCAGGGGCTGGAGGTAGGCGGGGCCGAGATCCATGTCTGTACTGGGGGACCCACAGGGCAGCAGACCACCTTGGAGAGCACCCCTGAAGAGCCCTCTTCGAGGTCCCTCCATCCCAGCCCCACCCTGCCTCTCCCCGTACGGTTGCCATCCCGGCGCAATACCCACGCCCCTCTGATGCTCTCCCAGGACACTCGGGTCTGACAACAGCTCCCAGCGAGGCCCAGAGAAGGGCTTTGAGGCCCACAGGGTAGATGGAGGTCAACTCGGGCACCCAAGGTCCCCTGTGGCCTCACTGGGCATATCTGTTCCAGGAGGTGGAACGGAGCCACCCTGATCTCCTGAATCTGCCCCAGGACCTAGAGCAGGTCTCCCAGGCTGCTGGGTAGGTACGGGACCTGCCCTAACAGCCCGGCAGCGCCGGGTGTCCCAGGGACGGGGAAGCAGGCTGTGTGGCCAGGCTGGGTCTCAGCGTTGCCGCCCCTCAACAGTGCACACCCGCTTTTCCTGTGGCGTGGGATAGATTTGGTGATCCTTGTAGCTTGTCCCATGAGACTTACTTGACACCGTGAGAGACTGAGGCTGGGCCTGACACACCCTCATGTCCCAGAATGGAAACAGCTCCAGAGGGCAGGGGTCTCCTTCCTAGGGTCACTCAGTCTTGAAGAGAGAGTTCTGGGGAGAGGCAGGCCCATCTGACCCCACAGTCTGCACCCCAGCATGGAAGCTTCTGAGTGTCACGCAGGGAGTGGCTACTGAACCTTGGTCGGTGGGGAGGGGTGCAGGCCTTTGGGGTCACCCCCACCAGCAGGCCTCTGATATACTTTCTGGAATCCTTGGACCCTCCACAAAACGTGGGAGATCCCAGCGCTGTCCCCAAGCCTGAGCAAGCCCACCCTCCGCTGCTGCCTTTCAGGATCAACCTGGAGGTCATCCGCTCGGAGGCCAGCACCAACCTGAAGAAGCTTGTGGAGACGGAGCGGAGGGTGTCGGCCTCCATCCCAGAAGTGCAGGACCAATACACTCAGCGCCTACAGGTAAGCTGAGGCGGGAAGCCTGGGGGGGAGGGAGGGAGCCAGGCACAGGCTTCCAGGGGTCAGGAAGTGCCCAGTGGGGTCAGGAAGATAGTCCCTGAGTCTTGGGGCCAGGGTGCCCTACATGTGCGTGACCTGGGTGCAGGGCTTCTGGCTGTGGCGCTGTTCTCCTCCCACAGAGGAGGAAACAGGAGGGGGGACAGGAGATGGGAAGGGGCACGCACGAGGGGGATCCAACTGCAAAGTCTCCTGGGAAGCTGGAGGTGCGTGCTGAGGGCCGCACAGGCCTGAGATTGTGCCATGCTCCCAGGCCAGCACTGCAGCCTCCCGAGCGCTGGGCGAGGTGTTCGAAGCCATTGATCAGAAGAAACTTGAACTGGCTGACTATCTGTGTGAGGATGCCCAGCAGCTGTCCCTGGAGGACACATTCAACACTATGAAGACTTTCCGGGACCTCTTCCTCCGTGCCCTGAAGGTGGGCCTGCAGGCTGTAGGGCAGGGCCTGATGGACTACGGGGGACTGCCCCATGTGGGTCCCAGAGCCCTCACCCCATCCTTTTCATTAGTCCCAGCTGAGCCTCCAACCCCTGTGCTCAGGCAGAAGTCACCCTTGGTACCCAGCCAGGAGAGGCCATCCTTGACCCTGCCCTCCTGCCCAGAGGGTCCACAGTTGCAGGGGAAGAGGGAGTGGTGGTACCAGGCTCCATCCGTGTCTGCCCCACCCTCACACCCCCAGGAGAATAAAGACCGGAAGGAGCAAGCCGCAAAAGCAGAGAGGAGGAAGAAGCAACTGGCAGAGGAGGAGGCTCAGAGGCCGAGGGGCGAGGACGGGAAGCCTGGTGAGTAGGGTAGGCAATAGGGAAGGACAGAGGGGGACACTGTGGGGTGGGGGATAGAGGCAGACACTGTGGGGGTGGGGTAGATACAGACACTGTGGGGGTGGGGGCAGAGAGGAGATCTCCCCTGGTGGGGGTCCTCTGCTCTGAGAGCCCACCCACTTCCCTCTGTCCCACATTCTCACACCACCCCCATGGCCCCATCTCCCCTGTTGCACACAGCATCAGCTGTACCCCTGGGAAGGGTCCTGCCTGGGGCCACAAGGCATGTTTTGGGGACCCCCTGAGGCGCACCCCTGAGGATCTAGGGCTTTCTCAGTCAGGAGGGGTGCCGGGCGACAGGAGGAGGTGTGTGTGATCGACGCCCTGCTGGCCGACATCAGGAAAGGTTTCCAGCTTCGGAAGACAGCCCGAGGCCGAGCGGATGTGGAGGGGGGCGGCAAGGTTACAGCAGACCCCCCCAGGACCTGGGAGCCTGGTGAGACTCTGACCTGTGTCCTCATCTCTATTGCTGCCATCTTTGCTGGACCAGCTCCACTTTCCTCCAGGGAGCCCTCCCTGACCCCAGGTCCTGAGATGGGGGGTCCTGTGTCTGGGGGCAGGGCTTTGTGTGCTGTGGTGGGGGGCAGAGAGGGGCTGCAGTTGTAGGAGACTTAGCAACTCCGATAGGGCCTCAGACACAGGGACATCCTGCTCTCCCTCACTGAGCACAGACTAGGATTTTGTGGCCAGTCCTGCCCTATAGGAAGGCCTGAAACCGCAGTTCCAAGGAGTCAGACTGGGCTGAGCAGCCTGGAGGAGGAGGCTCTGTGGGGATCCATCCTCCCTCCCATTCAGCAGAAGGGAGATGGAGAGGCTCCTGCCCTCCACAGACTCACCCCTCCATCCACAGTGGCCCCAAGTGAGCCCACCGGAGGCCCCAGCTGCCCCACCTCGCAGCCAGACATCACCTCTGCAGTGACCAGTGAGCCCCAGGACTTGGACCTCATGGATGCAGCCCTGCCCCACCCACAATCCCTGGGGGGCTCATCAGAGTCTAACAATCCTAGATGCTTGGAGCGGCAGTCTTCCTGGTACATGGATGCCAGTGAGCCACCAGCCACCGAGGACTCCCAGAGTCCTCAGCCCTCAGTGGGGGCCTGGCCGGTGGAGCTGGGGGACACTCGGGCCTTGAAGCCCCTCAAGTTCTCCTGTGACAAGCCCCCCAGCACCACAGTTTCAGGCCAAGGGACCTCGGACCCCACAGCTCCACAGGGTACCTACCAGGTCGAGGCTGACAGCACCAACTGTGGAGGGGACGAGGAGGACATGACCCCAGAGTCTGCTTTGGACACGTCGCTGGACAGGTCCTTCTCTGAGGACATGGTGACCGACTCCTCAGGGTCCGGCAGCTTGCCGAGGGCCCGGGCCCGGAGTGCCAAAGGGACTGGCCGGAGGAGGAGGAAACGCCTCTCAAGAAGTCAGGAAGGTAATAAGGGCTTCCTCTCCAAACAGGGGGGCTGGGTGGGCACACGACCCAGGCTGGCTCTGCCTCCCTTGCTGGCCATTAGCATCTGTCCCTGCCCTCATCGTGCTGAAGAGGGAGTTCTGCTACCAGCAGGGCCAACCTGGGGTGGGAGAGGGCAGCTACTGCCCAGCTGCCCCTAACACACTGACTCACGCCGAGAGTCACGGGGCAGCAGCTTGACCTCGGGAATCAGGTCCCTGGGCTTCAAGGGTGAGTTTCTGCCCAGTGGCCCCCGTGGCCCCTGCCACAACCACACGGCCTCACTCTGAGCCCAGGGCTACTCCAAGTGCCCATTGTTGAGTGTGTTTCTCTTGTTTGAAAGCAGAGGTTGACCTCGATTCTGACGATACTAAATCAGAACGGTTTTGTGTGCTGCAGTGAGGTATGTATGCAGCCTGACGCTCTGTGTGCTCTAACGGTGTTGACAAGGGGCAGTTGCCAGTCCCGTCTGGTCACTAACCCCAGCTTGCATCCGGCCTGCCAGGGCCAGTCTGCAGACCCCCCCGCTTCTCCCTCAGTGACTGGTGGTGGGACTTTCCTCCCCTTTCTGCCCCTCTCTGGAAAGGTCAGAGTAGTCCAGCCTCCTTGCTGACCTGGTGTCTTCTCAGAGCTGGAAGTGGGCCGGCAGGGGTCAGGGATCCCTGGGCGCTGAGGATATGGCAGCTGGTGGGAGAGGCTGAGGTTGCTCCTGCCGGGAGTGGTGTCTACAGCCTTAACCTTGGTTTGGCTAATTTGCTTCACTGATCTCTGCTTCCGGGAGTGCTCCCTGGTGCTGGGCCTGCAGATCTCCAGGGGGCAGATGAGGAACAGGGGTAGTCGTGAGGGCAACCGCTGCCAAGGATGAGCAAGTTACAGCCCCTCCTGTCGGTTTCGGTCAGACTTCCTGGGGACAGACCAGGCAGGACAGTGGGGGTCATTGGCGTGGGCCACAGATGCTCAGACAGCCCCCAGGAACTCCAATGGTAATGACACTCACTGTTGATGTGACCCTGGACTGCCGACTTCTGTTCAGAGGTGGACTCTCTGGTGTGAGAAGTTTCTAGAAAGTGCTGATATCTTCCTTGGGCTGGGTTTGGCCTTGCATTCCTGCTCCCCAGCTGCTTGTTAGGCAGTCTTGGGGTGGGGCATGTCCGTCCCTGCTGGGGAGAGAGATCTGTCCAGTGTCCCATCCCCCCACCCCACAGTCCATCCAACCCTCTTGCCCATTCCTCTTCCTGGTTGGGGCATTCTGGGGGACAGAGTCCAGGCCCCTGCCTTTTCCCTAATTGTAAAATTTGGAAACATTTCAAACCAGCTGGGATTTGACAGGTTCACAGGGAGCTCCACCTGCCCTCCACCCCAACCTACTGATTGTTAATGTCACCGTGTCTGCCTGTCCCTGCCTCCTCCCTTTGGCTGAAACATTTGCCTTGTAGATACCATGACGGTTCACCCTAAAATCTGTCATCAGGAGCTCCTAAGAACACGAGTCGGCTATTCACTGAAAGATTGGACGTTCAGTTCCACTTGGAGGCACTTGGAAGAAAGGCCTGGCAACCTCCTTCCAAAACATCAGCCATCGGAAACCCTGTGGACACAGTTCTACTCTGATCACATGGGAGCACCATGAGTGGAATCTAATTATGAAACATCATCCACTGAGAACCCTGTGGACACAGTTCTAC